AGAAGTGGCTACTAGGCGGTTCTCGTCCGCGACAATTTCAGTGCGGAAGAGGCGTCAAAGAGATGAGCACAGCTCAATTACTCGAAACCAGAGATCAATAAAAAATGCAATTGATAATTCTCAATACAAGTACCTGAAGGTTATCGGGAGCGCACCAAAGAGTGACCTCATCCGAAGCGTGAAGTGGATGTCCTGCTGAAGTACGGGCTGTCTGCAAGTGTAGTACAGCACTAGGACCACGGGCTGTTAGTGAATCGACGAGCGGCAGTACCAATACAACCGCTAGCAGCCACATTAGACACGAGATACGACGTGGGCGTGGCCGAGGGTAGAGACTCGGCGCCCGACGCCTTGCATAGCGTCAGAGACCGACGGGACAGACGGCCGCCGGAGGTGGTCAACTAGCGTATTTGCCATTTTACTGGCTAGTGGTCCTTAGCCCTTATTGACAGTCGGGTCGAAGGTACGGTAACGGGATACTGTATTTTCATACTGTATCATCACTACATTCGAGAAATGTGGTAGTTCGAAACTGTATCCCTATAGAGTTGAAGGCGTACAAATGAGCATTTACCCAGGTATTCGAAGAAATCTACGGCTTGAAAGGGCTCTGGCTTCCCTTCCGAGGATCTGTTGCAGCAATTCGGCCATGTGTTCGGCAAGCGAACCTAACAGCTGTGTCGGCTAAAAGCGCTTTTTCGAACAGCAGCAAGCCAGTAAATGTACACATGCTGATGGATGTCACGACCAAATGCCTAATTCGACTACTCTTGTGCGGAGCTGTATAATCTATTCATTCCATTCAAACGTGACCACCTCATGGGACACTATGCGCATTTCTTGTTTCGAAAGAAGGTAACACAAGGGTTCAGTTAAGCGCACGCCACAGATTAAAGGACGGAAGTTCAGATTAGAATGAAGGTCGAAGAAAGGGAAACTGACCTAGTTGAGGGACCCACGGACCTCCTGAGGGTGCGAACTGACGCGCAATTCGCATGGAAAAATTTGACCTCGGCGACCTATCATGCCTCAAAGCTGGCGGGTCCGGCGATCTCCGCCCACCGATCATCTGATCACTCGCCGTAGTTCAATACGTGGCGAGTGATTAGATAGCTGAGAGAGCGTAGTGTTGAAGAGGGCACAGCGATGAGAGTCGCATCAATGCTCGAATCAACGGGCAAGGAAGGGGTACCATTTCTCGGGTTCTGGCCGTTTCTCATGGTTCTTCCTTCTTTCGTGTACCACTCACCATCCCTAGGTTAATTTGAAATGGGTTGCTTTTTCATCGTGAATTCGTCCTTTAAAGGAATCTTCCACGGACCATGGACCAGTGGGCGGGACCGGAAGTGGTTTTGCGACGAAATGCATGGTAGGTACGGATCCACGTTCATGGGAAGGTTTGAAGTGAATCCTGTTCACGTTCGTGCGTTCGACACGTGGATCCGTACCTACCATGCATTTCGTCACAAAAACTTCCGGTCCCGCCCACTGGTCCATGGTCCGTGGAAGATTCCTTTAAGTGTTAGTTGGAACACTTTCAAGAGCAAACCCAGAATCGCACTGATCGTGAAGAAAGTCTGAAATCAGCATCATCCTGCCTGAAGGAGGTCTGCGTAGCGACCCTTTTTCCTTCTTTTGGAGTCATTAAATGCCCTTTCTAATCGCGCCATAGCTCCACATCTTACGTCTTCCGAGACCCAATTCTTCCTGGACACGGGAGAGTTGAGGCGAGTATTTGCATATGAAATCGGCGAATAATCTACGTATTTTTGGAATTTCCTCAAATTACGTTCTGTAAATTCCTTTGCTATTCTACACATTTTTTCTGACTAAGTAGTTTTTACCGCCAAATTCTAGACTATCGGGTTAATTTTGGAAACTTGACCGTGATGTCTTTCTATTTCCTCTTTTTTTCGAGAACGCTGAGAATTCCACCATTTACGATTCTACTCTCGAAAACCAAGAATGTGACCGCCTCCCTCGTTGAACTTTACCCGAGGAAGCTAAACCTGGCTGGGGCCAAGAGGAATAGGAGAAATTTACTAAATCAGGACTAGCCTTTTCAAGCAATTCTCACCATTAGGCGCCACACTCTCCTACTTCCTCTCCCTCCCTTTCCCCTTGTCTCTTCTACCTCCAACAGGGTCAGGCATGGCATCATTCAAGAATGCCTGATAGAGCCCTTCTGATGCAGCCTTCCATCCTTTACTTAAAAGCACTAAGAAGTGGATGACTATATGTACGGAGCCAGAAGGAAATCTCTATCGCGCGTCATGTCAACACACTTTTCCTTGCGAAGGTGCCGCCCCGCCGTTGATGTAAGTTTCATCAAAATATACTCAAATGTTCCTCCGAAAGGGAACTCCTTCCGAGTACTCTTACCGTCTTCAGAAATCACTTGATTTGATATCATCGGTGCAGCTCATGGAGGTTCACCTCAATCGCCGAGCTAAAGCTACGCATAGATTTCTCAATCGGCAGCGGTGTTGATCACCTAACAAAAACATTGTTGGGTTGGGGCTCTGAGCTTGAAAACCTCTTACAATCAAGAAGTTCAGATATTCCGTAATGGTCCAGGATCACGTCGACGGCTCGGCTGAGCTGCGACCGTGCGCAGTCCTCGTGAGATCTCTTCTCATGTTGGGAGTGTCAGAGGTCACTATGGAGTTTTTCCGATGGATGGGAATGTGCTCTTCAATCTTCAATTGGGAGCAGTCAGTATGAATTCAATGAAATGTGGTCATTTTAGCTTTCGACATGAAGTAAAATGTTTTTTCCTTGCCTCCTCTGCGTTGGTATTGGTGGTGTATGGCAATATGACACGCTACCACGCAGCGGTTGGGGATCAATCCTGGATCGTGAGTCGCTCGGGACAACCAAGCCTTAAATGGAATTACTGAGCCACTGAGTACTGAGAATTTCTCAACTTTTGAGAGGAACCATTGAGAAAATCTTTTGGTCTCCACCCCCGCCCGCTCCGTTCTCTCCTCCTGAAGGCACCTGCATGAGTCATAAGCTTGATTTTCGTCTGACTCATCTGCCCATCCAAACATCGTTACTAGGCTAAAGAGGGACGGGTAGGATACACAGGCGAGGAGCGTCAGGATGATGTCTTGGACACTTTCTCTTCGGACGTAAGCACAAAAAGTGCAACACTACTCTAAAGAATGATTAGTATGTGAGAGTGTAGGATTACTGCAGTGAGGCGCAATCAGTGAGTGCACTTGTGTAGAAAGCTCACTTACTCAATTGCCCTCTATTTCTTTTTTCATCAGGGTACTATATCCCAGCCGCTAGCTCACTACGATTTTCAAAGAGACATAGGGAGCATGGCGCATCCCAAAAAATTATTGATCAACACCGACTGCTTCAGACGATTCGATCGCTCTCGTTCACCATGGTAAAGCACTTGTTTATCTAGATTTGCTTCAAGGTACAATGGAGGGGCATTGGGCTTTTTCCCACGGCAGGAAACCGGATAAAGATGGGGCCTGTATACGTTCTACGTCCCTCTTGCATGAGCTCACAGTGTTGCCACAGTCCTGTGCCAATTTTCCGCTCCTCTTTCTCACACTTCCCATCCTTTTCACCCCTTCGGTCAGAGTTTTGTCCCTTGTTAGAAGTATGCTCCATGTCCGGTCTTCTTGAAACCTGGGCATTCCGATTATGTCTTGCTTCTGTTTAGCCTTCCAGGTTTGTTATGGTGGAACACTTTATTGGTCGACGTTTCGAACAAATCGTCGTTTTCAAGACCTAAAAATTGGTTCGAAGCTCTAGTTTGTAACCTATCCGCTTACACCCCACTAGTACCAAATGTTATTGTTTTTTGTAATCACGGAATCATGAAATGCGGAACATTAAATGCTAATTGTTGCCAGTAAAGAAAATGACACAACTGGAAACGTCCTGAGCAGGGTTCTTATTTTTTTGGGCGACAGGAAAGTCTGATATATAAACAGTTCAAGAGACACTGTGGTATGAGATGAGAGAACGACACGCGGAGGGGAGAGAGGATAACGGTTGAAGAGACGACAGATACTGTAACGGTGGGCGTGCGTGGTTGCTTGAAGTATCCAAGGTGACAAGTTCTCAGCTCCTAGCGCCATTTCTTCGCGTTTTGAGTCGCAAAGTGGCCACACCTCTGGGGTGTTGACCCGACCACTTTTGTTGGCTTAAGGGATCGCTCCAATAATTCAATCCGGAGAACTGCTCAGAACTGATCTTGATGAGGTGTGCAGTGGTGAAAGACTCGCCTACAATCTCAGCACGCGACCCACTGTCTCTGCATCAAAAGTGACTTTGTTGAATAGTTAGTACTAAATTATTGCGATGCTTTCTTCCAACCTTTTGCGTATGCAGCTGCAAACAATGACTTTTTTCTTTTTCGGGTCTTTTTTTCATAAGTGCTCGTATGTCTCAGGTAGGTGTCAGACTAGGCGGGTGCCGCCGCGCAAACTATATGAATCAGTAACGACCCACGGTGCGTCACATGGCGCGATCCCATTGGTCTCCGGACATCTGTCAACCGTGAGGCTAGGCAATTCAGCGTTTTGTTGTGCTGTCTGGGAGCTCTCACACAAGCGCACTATTACAGAATCTCCGCTTTCTTTACTCCTTCAAAAGGCTTAGTCCCACTACCACAAAAAAACGTCTGCTTTTCCTTCTACACTCTCACCCCCTGGTTGACAGAAGCCTTGTAACCGATCCCATTTTCATTGGAGCGCACAGGCCGTAGTTGCTACATCCTGCCCGGACAACTCGTCCGCGCACCACATTCTGTTCCACTCCTCTTGCCTTGGCATTAGGCCAATACAAGCTATCCGCTTTTTTTTAGATCCTTGAGCTCATCGAGATTTCTTAGACCCAAATTATCAGATCGATCAATTACTGAAGTCTGGTAGTTGAGTGATACGGACGAGTTGTCCGGCCACAGCAGGATTTGGCAACTTGCGGCCTGTGCGCTCTAATGTCAACGTGTTCGCGCCATATGACCCGCTCCCACGACCCACCCCACTCACGATTCCGACATCGCCCTATCGAGAAGTTCAGAATGTCCGGCAACAAAGTTGTTCTTTGAAGGATACGCAGCAAGAACACAATTTGTTAGGAAACATGATCGATCGGTACTCAGACCAGGTACCAGACAGGAGTGCTGTGCCCCCTCCTATCAAGGGAATGCAGGTTAGTAATTATGAAATTTCTCTTTACCTGTTATCAAATATTAAGTTCTCCCCACAGATACGGCCCAAATCTCGAAGTCTGATTGGGCGTGTCACCAGAAATGACGTGGCAGTGCTATCTTAGTTGGGAGGGGGGGGGGAACAACGCGGCGGCGCGGCACTCTGTTCGTCTGCTGCTCCAAGGGCTTAGTCCCAGGGGCAGTCACTATTTCGCCATCACGTGACAGCGCCATCGAGGACTAAGCCTTGCAGGAGGAGACGAACAGATCGCCGCGCAACTAACGATAAGATAGCACCGACGTGGCGGCCCTTGCACTTGATAGAAGTCGTATGCATAAGCTGTTTCTGACACACTTCGCTAGATATCAGGAAAGTATGCCGGAAGCAGCTTATTCACGCATCTTCTGTCAAGTGCGGTGACCGCCACGTCATTTTCGTGACCGCCGAATCACTTATAGTATGGACGGTAGGCGGGAGCAAGGTCGAATCGCTTCTGACTCAGACATCTGTCTGGGTGCTTCCATAGTCGGTCTCAGATCGTAACGACCGTTTCGATCGCAAACGCCGCCGCAAGGGAGACGACACGGTGATCGGGTGGAAATCCAAACAATTAGCGACTAAGCGTCACGGTACTTCGCAGGTCCGTTGTTCAAGGGCCGTGTCCTATCTTTTCCCGTGGGGGACGCATCCCCACTGCTGATCCGTTTACAGATTACTTGAACTTGGTCTTTAAACCGCTTCAATTTGATGCTCGTGCCTGCGTCTCTCGCCAAAACAGCGGCACACGACCGTTGTGGTGTCACGCATTCAAACTTTTGCCACACTGTAATTGGCTTACGCACCCCCTTCCATAGATTGCCCTCATTCCCCTGGCTCACGTATCTCCCGGCAACGTGTAGATGCGGCGCTGTTCTTTGATTTCAGTTCTCTATCCATTCGCGGCAGACAACATCGAGGAAAGTTAAAGAAGTCAATAAGCCCCCCGATCTTATCCTATGGTGGGGGGACAGGGTTGCGTCATAGGACCAACCATACTCTGTGTTTTAGACTCCAGACCAGACAACGCGACTCCTCAGAGAATATAGTGTTGCTACAACATCACGCGTTCTCTGGTGATCACGAACCCTGCAACTCCTGTCTCTCCCCCCCCCCCATAGCAAAAAATGGCTATATGAAGGAATTACGTACAAAAGCTGCTTTTTTAGAAATGGCCGAACAACTTCGAAACCTCTTGAATGCGTTGAAGAATTTGGAGAGCGCAGTGCGATTGTACTACGAGGAGGTGAGCAGGCGCACGAGGGCGTCGGTGGTGGCTTCATCGCAACGCACAATAGGCAGCGAGTTTCTCGAGTGTGGTTTACTAAGACTAACATTTTTCGCTGTAGGAACTCCAGGTCCACTCTTGATCAGCGATGGACCTAAGGTTCCCGCAGCGAAAATGTTCCGCGTGCAAAAAGCGAAAAAGTGAAAAACTCGCTTTCTGTCCTAGTGAACCACACCCGAGTTTTACTGCAGTTGCATACGTTTCACTCAATTAGTTGTCTGGAAGTTGGCCCAGTAAAGGCATCGCCTAATTTAGAGTGTGGTTCACCAGGGGCGGTATTCAATCCTTCCCCCAGGGGGATATATCCCCCTACTCTGATTCAATCCTCTGGGGGGACAAAAAAGGGTTGCGTCATAGGACCTAGCATACCTCTGTGTTTCTACCTGCCAGACAGTTAGAGCAGCGCGACCCCTCAGGGAAAAGAGTGCTTCATCAGTGGAGGGTAGTAGCGCTGCTCTAACTGTCTGGCAGGTAGAAACACAGAGGTATGGTCGGTCCTACGTTGCTACAAGTAGCAACGGGGGGTCGTATTTTGATGAGTTTTTAGAGGGGGGTCGTATATTTTGATGAGTTTGTAGAGGGGGGTCGTATATTTTGATGAGTTTGTAGAGGGGGGTCGTATATTTTGATGAGGTTGTAGAGGGGGGGTCGTACTTGCTTCGATTGTAAGAAGTTGCATGAGGTGAGGGAGGAGTGGCGCGGGAGAAAATTTGCCGTTTCAGCGCGCGTATATACCCCCCCCCCTAGAAAATGAAGCGTGGGATTAAAGGTAGGAGGGGGTAAATTGGTGGAAATTTAGGGAATTTAGGTAATTTTTACGGTTTCAGAGTGACTATATACCCCCCCCGCTCGACGGCATTTTTGGAGGAAAAAGTGGGCGGAGTTTTCGTGGGTTCGAGTGATACCAGAATGAAATACTATAGCGAGGAATATGGTGGTCGAGGGTCGAGAAGGGTCGTACCAAATCCACCTTTGGGGAGGGGGGTCGTAAAAATTTTTCGAAAAGTAGCAACGATAGGACCGACCCTGCTCAGGAGGTATGCTAGGTCCTAATGACGCAACCCTTTTTGTCCCCCCAGAGGATTGAATCAGAGGAGGGGGATATATCCCCCTGGGGGAAGGATTGAATACCCGCCCCAGGAAGCGACCGCATTTCGCGTTTCGCAGCGCGACTCAATTATGTTCGTGTCGGGGAAATTCTCGGTCCACTGATGATCCTGCGGGACTGGCCACTTACAGAGGTGGCCTATAGGTTCCGCAGCGGAAATGTTCGCGCTGGCGGAACTGACGCAGAAAGTCGCCTTCTGTCGTAGTGAACCGCACCCCCTAATTCATCACCCTGTATATGTAAGCTGTTTAGGAAAGCAGCTCAAGTCGTGGTGTTCAAGAAGCTGCCAATACAGTCGGAGCAGCATCCAGAGGAGTCCAAACAATTGTTGGTGAGCAAGAGAGATGTCGGGGTGAGTGAAGTTGGAAAAACTGAGGAAAGGACACTATGTCAATGAGAGGCGGGGGGGAGGAGGAACTCTTGGTGTTTAGCCTTGGCTTCCGCGCACTCGCTGAGGCTTTTCAGACCTTCACCTCTCCTATCTTATAGAAGACCTGGTGGCTTCGGTAATTTTGCCCCCGTACCTCCTGGGTCTCATTCAGGTAACCAAATTCCGTCAAGTCCTTTCAATATGTCCCCGAATTGGCAAAACATTCAAACATTTCGAAAGCTCCCCTTTTAGCGTTTCCATACATATGCCTCCAATTTCATCAATTACAACCGCATTCCCGAAGATCGCCAAGTTTTATCACCCTGGTTGATTAGTAATGAACATTCCACGTCTCCTTAGCTCTCCTATGCGTGGCTCATTCAGACCATCATCTTCTCGGCTAGTGGCAGAGGTGCACAGAATGGAAATTGAAAGGGCGAAGATTCGAACATCAATCGAAAAAACAATCATGGAAAATGAGAAAAAGAGGGGACAACTTCTCGACGTGCAAACGCAGAATGCTTTGATGGAGCAAGCCATACTGAAGGCAAAGCTGAGGATGTTGAATCTTGATTGTGAGTATGTTTTTTCGTTCGTGTTTGATTGACTCTATTGAATATTTTTGTTCTCTGAGTAGGATGTGGTTCACGGTTCACTTCATGGACAGAAAGCGACTTTTTCGCGTTTCGCAGCGCGAAACATTTTTCGCTGCGGGAACCTCGGGTCCACTGATGATCAGCGGTGGACCTGAGGTTCCCGCAGCGAAAAATGTTTCGCGCTGCGAAACGCGAAAAAGTCGCTTTCTGTCCTAGTGAACCACACCCCTCTGAGTACAGGGTAGATGTCAGACTTAGCGATTGGCTAGCGCTTTATGGGGTAGGAACGTTACGCCAGCGTACAGCAATACGCCATCATCGGTGATTCTTTGTTTGATGTCTACAAGAAGCCAATTCTTGTCTCTAAGGAGCTGATACAGGTGCGCTGTTTTGGAAAAGCCAGTCAATGCTCGATGTTTCTGAGAGGTCAGTTAGTGCTCGGTGTTGCCGAGGAGCAAACTAGTGTTCGGTTTTTCAGGGAGTCGACTAGTGTCGCAAGGAACTGTTGATGTTCAGTGTTCCGAGGAGCCTGTACACTCATCGGGTTCTTTGGGACATTGTATACAAAATCACTTGAATCGCTAGCGTATCGCTAAGTCCCTGTTGCGTTGCTCGCACCAGTGGAATCACCACCATATCTCAGCCTTACATTGTCTAGGGCGTCATTTACATAATAAATAGTAATTCCAGTGAAGAACAATGGCTAAATTTGACCGCTTCTTGCCATGGCTTCCTTCTGGCTTCTCTCGCTCTGCTTAATTCCGTTGAAGACGATGTTTTATAAATAATGAATCTTTATCAAAGTTTCCCTTGTAGTAATTTGTTATTATTTAGTTTGTTTTGCACTAAACATGAACATTGTATGCTATCCGGACTGAAGGTACACCTTATATTATGCGTTAACCTTGACATTATAATACGTATTACAGATCTCCTCATTGAAAGATTTTCCTGAAGCAGTTTTAGTTTCACGTTTATTGAAGTACTGTATAAGCATTCCAGGCTCCCAGACAATACCTAACCATTTGGGCGCGGCCGCGGCGAACGCGGCCGAGTCGATAGTGCCCGCGAACCGTTGAAAACGCACTCGAGGTGCCCGCGAACTGTGCTGTGCTGAGTTCGCGGGCACCTATCAACTCGGCCGCGTTCGCCGCGGCCGCGCCCAAATGGTTAGGTATTGTCTGGGAGCCGCATTCCATTCAGAAACATTCATTTTTTCAACAGCTATGTATCATTTTCTCTTTTGATTTCCTCAGTTGAACTGTGAAGGCTTTTCATGAAGTTATATAAAGTTTTTGTGCTATTCACCACTTCCATAAGGAAGCAGTCACGCTGGCTTTCACGTCGAGCCTTCTAGCCTAGCTTTATCAACCGACAAGGTGTGAGATAGCTACCCTCCCTTTCAAATAACAAAGAGGGCGTTAGAAGTTTTTGTTGAAATAGTTATAGTTATCGAGTGTCAACTATACATGCTCGCGGCCACCATTAAGGAAAACATTTAAAACAGGGCCGATGGTAGGCGATACTAGGACTAAGTCAGGGAGAAGGGAGAAACGCCAGAAACTCAAATTGTCTTCTCCAGAATCCCTTTCCGGCTTACTCGCTTTCCCCTCCCTCCTTAAGGCTCGACCCCAAGCACAGTAATTGGCTCACTAGCTCCCCAAAACCTTACAGATCTGGTCAGCCCATCTGCGCACGCTTTGACGAGTGGAATTCCACTACAAAAGCCCGCGAAGCGTCCAGATTGCTGCACAGTTTGCCGCGTGCCAGCCTGGAGCCAAGGGTCCGTCACCCTGATTTCCGGGGTCGGTCAGTACACAAGTCAACATACACAAGTTTTGATTTTTCAGCTTTTTTTTTATCCTGCTAGACAAGTTCTGTATTAATTACACGAGCCGCGAAGGAAAGAAATTTTGGCTGGTTAGGCGAAATACGAGATTTTAACGGTGCTATGCGGATAACATGAGGTGCCACTCTCCCTCCATCTCATAAACCTGTATGCAGAACAAACATTAGAATATATGATTGAAAACACGGGAAATTGTGCTTCGCGTCGAAAAAGTTATTGTCTTCCCACTGCGGTGTGCAGATGCTGAGCTTCATTCTTCTCTTCGAGGGTTTAATAGTCTTGTTAGGTGTGGCCTGCTCATGAGTTGGGCTCCCAGTTCAGCGTTACACCGCAAGAATTATAAATTGCAAGACACACTATGTCGGGAAGAGGTGCTGTCTCAAGAGGTCAAACTTGTCTGAGCGCCGTAGATGGACAATGAGGTAGTAAGGGGTGCGCGGGGTCATAAAAGACCACCGGATGGTTTACATGGGAAGGCTCCGGGGAAAGGGGTCCGGACGCCATTATCAGTGTTCCAGTTCAGAGTTCCAGTTGCAGTCGTTTCAATATCTAGTCTCGGTGTTCCAGTCTTCTGGCATCTGTGTGGCACCTGAGCGGTGTTGTCGGTTGGTAGCCGAAAAGCCCGTAGGAAAGACGGCCAAGGCTCATTAAAGTAGTTCAGTGGCTGATAGGTGAGGGCGCCTTGGTGGCTCATTGTAGGAAGCTTCGACGGCTCCGATGATTTGATCTTACCTAGAAAATCTTTCAGGAAATGGAGCGCTTCACAAAGTGGTTTTTGCATGTTGTAGGAACAGGTGCGGTGAACATAAAACTTAGGACCACCTTTTTTTCTGAACTGCTCTGGGAATGTCAGAAAACGTGGCAATAAACTTGTGGTTCGATACCCACTGAAGACAAATTTCCCACTTCTCTGATTTTACTTTCTTGGCCTCATATAAACTCTAAACTCACTCGTTAAACGAAAACCTTCCAGCATGAACCTATTCAGCGCTACAAATGCTGTAGGGTATATTGAAAATGTAAAGTTTGACTTTCTGTTTTGAAGAAGTGAGAGTGAAGTGTTCTACCCTTTTTTTCAACGTTTCAGGGCTGCTCAGAGAAAAAAATCGTCAGTTTCATGCTCCGCGCACATTTCCCTATGACATGTGACAAATCGTTTTGAGAAAGCGCTCAACGTCTTGAGCGACTGGTTAGAAGCCTTAGTGGCTCGGTGATCAGGCCTTACCGGGAATGTGTTTGAGGGCTGCCAAGGTCTTCAAAACTTTTTTTTTTCATGAGGCTCAGGCGAGAACCACAAAACCATTTCATTTTTCCTAAACGGCCCAATGAATACCGGAAAAGGGGTGATGAAGGGGTCCATGGTTCGACTAGTCGCTATGACCAACTCTTGATTTTGAGTTGGTGTTTCAGAATTTGCGCAAAATAGTAGTGAATGGATGTCATGTGCGTAGTATGGCAACCCCCACAAGTAGCTCTTCACCAAAAAAAAAACTGGTGATGGAATTCGTGATACCAAAACGGCACCAATGTGTCACCAAATGGCGCCGTAGCGGCACCAGATGACTTCCGCGCCAAAACGACTGTCATATTCGTAGTCAAGGCCCAGGATAACCCCTATAACCGAAGTTTCAGAGAAAATAAGATTTCCACCCAACTTCGAGTAATTGGCCCGTGAGTAAGTCAATCGTCAATAGCAGGTTGAATTTTGCCCTACCTCTGGCTAGCCCTCTTGTCGGTGGCTAAACCGACTTCTAATACGAGACGAAGTGTGAGATGTGGACTGTAGATACAAAACCTCGGTTTCGGTGTTTATCTCTAAAGGGTGCCCCGAATTTTCCGCTCTGAGCTCGCCTCCAAGCCGTCCGGGGACACATGTCGGGTTGTCCCAACGGCCGGTTCAAGTGGTGTCAAAATCTCGATTTTCCCAAAACTTCGGTGTTGGGGTTAGATCAGTGCCCTGATCACTGAGATGGCATTCTTTCTGGGCCAAATTTGGCGCTGTTACATGTTTCTCCTAGTTGTCGGAGAAAACTCATCCTAATGAGGTTATTTGTGACTCTGATCATGAATATTAAGTCTTACATATACCACTTGGCACTTATGCTGAGGTGGCAGCCAAAAATAAAAACGGCATGCCATAAGAGTCGAACCAACAACCTCTCAGGCGCCTTGCCAACTCGATTCCATCACGCTATCCACTGGCTACTGGGCCACACACAATCAGAGTCAACCCTGGTTGCGCAGTTCTCAACGGTCACGTTGCTACAAGGGAAGGATGGTAGGTCGAAGTGGCCGTTCGAAATGAAATGTATACCTCCTGATGCGTCTCCAGACGCTGATTCCAAATCTGCCTTCCAAATCTGCTAAACGACTCGATTCGCCCGAAGAGATACGTATCCCCGCGCGAAACTTCACACTGCAATGCTCGCAGGCCGTCTGCGTCTCCGGGCAACATCATTTTGCCGGAATTTCGCGTTGTTTTCAATGTACGAATAGCGGCAACCCTTTAATTTTTCACAAGTCAACGATGTGGACGATATATGCCACAATAAAGCAGTAAAAACGACAGTTCCCAAGATGTTCTTCTTCGGCCGTTTTTTGGTATTCAGGGAACCAATTAGCCAAAATGAGCCATATTTTTGTGGTTGTGTAAAAACCGATTTGGAGGAGTTAGGCACGCCCTGAAAGACCTTCTTGGTTAACGGCGCGCTGAGAAGGGCCTTAGTGGCTTGGTCGCTTGAAAGATCCTTTGTGGCTCGGAGGAAGGGCCTCTGTGGTCCAACACAGAAATCGCACCCTGTATCTGGTTGCAGACCTCCACCCAGTAGTATCTCGCCCCCTCCCACGGCACAGCTCACCTCCGGCTTCCAGTGATCCTTGATACTTATTCATTGTTGTTGATTTCCTATTCTACTTCTCTCAATCACAGACGAGAGTTACTCCCAAGTTGCAGTCCACGAATCCACTTAGCATACAGTACATCTAAACGAATCCACCTAACCTAGATTTGCGATGAATCTGATACATCCACCACTATCCTATGATTTTTCGTGGCTTCGTAGGTTTCTGCTGTGTGGACAATTTTCTAAAGCTTTTCTGACAGTTTCAATTTCCATTGTTTTCTCTAGTGAATTCTCATTCCTTCAGCTGCATTTAAATTCAAATCTTGCTTCATAAATCGCAAATTCGAGCTGTAAGTAAATGTTATATAACACTTTCTGTTTTTGATCCAAACGTTTAGTTCAAGCTCTTATTTGTTAGTTGCACATAACATTATTCCAACAACTCTCAAGCTTGACCTACTGCTGTGATCACGAGTAAAGGCAAAAGCGCGCCCACGCGTCCGATTGCGCTCATCGGAGGTCGAGATCACTATCGTGCGATATAAGTACCAGAGCTTTTCATAGGGCTATCTTTGATCGCTTGTTGCCTCGGTTTGGAACAGCTTGATGGAAAGCTCTTCGAATGCTCGGGGTGCTTATATTCTCGAAGAACTTTAATACTCATTCAAAAAAATTAAGAACCCAGCAGCACATATGATTTGTTTATACTTAAGCCGAAGTTAACATTTGATTATTGGCAAAATGCATAATTATGATACAGGGAAAAATGGCAGTTATGAAGAAAAAGAAAATACCCTTAATGTGACATGAGAAGAGCACTGGACAACGAAATGCGATTGCATCTGAACAAACCGGCATCAATTGTCAACAAAGGCCGCACAACAAGGCCATTCACAAGTCGGCTTCGTTCAACAAAAGCTGCTCTTTGACTTCTTGCGAGACAGGCTCAACGCGAAGTGTGTGAAAACGATCGAGTTTCTTACCGTGCAAAGAGCACGCCTAGAAAAAGGGCCCAATCAAGCGCCACCAACGTGAAAGATTTCACTTTTTTTTGCTAAGAGGTTATCTCTTGAAATATCAAATTAACCAGCTGACCTGATACGCTAAGAATTTTGTGGCAAACGTTATCGTAGCTCGATCAGAGTTCAAAACCACTCCTGTGACCTTCAATCCATGGAACAATTGAGCTACACCAAATTCGTTGAGTGAAGACGGGAATCCAGTGACATGCACGGCAGATTCTTCACGATGTACTGCAACAGAGACGGTGTTTTAGCCGTTTGACAAACAATTCACGACTCATTCCTCACATCCAATCAAATATGGCGTTATTAAGCGTTGCATTATCCTGATCTAGTATTAATTTGAACTATGACCAGTAGAGTATACCAGTACACCCTGTAGAGGGAATTTTTTGTTGTTTAGGTTGTCAGTTCAAAGGGTAAACACCAGGCGGAGACCCTCTTTTTCAGGGTGACCTCATATGCACAGAAGACGTGATCGCCCACCACCGATTACTTGAGGAAAGTGGGGGCTTGAAAGATAGAGAAACTATAATACATTAGTTAGTCGAACGTTGAATGCATGATACTAGCTTACAAGAATGAGACCCACATCAAGAACCCTTGAAGATTCTTACATGACAACACTGTCAATCATGAATAACTGGAATGAATGCAACTCCACAAATGTCGATTTCTTACCCTACATCCTCTTCTGTGAGCTATGATAGTGAGATTGTAATGCACTGCACGTACTCTTCTTTAAGCAGTACACGACCAGTCAGTCTCACTAATCTATTGTCTCTGCAAGGCACTGAGGGAGGCTGTTGATCGTCGCCGCTGGTGGAATTGAGGAGAGGAACCCAATCTTAAGATTTCCACTCCCTAGTTTATTGGTTCAGGTGACACTTCGCTAGATGCTCGTGTTGGGTGAATAGGTAACATTTTGATTGTTTCGATACACTTTCAGGCCTTTGAAAACAAAGAGCTCGTCAAAGCTTCAGGCTAGATACGCATTCACCACAAAACCTGTTCGGCACAGAAGCAATAAACAACTGTACAAGAACAAGTGCCCAGGTTCCAAAAAAGGCTGGCATGGAGAATGTTAATCAAAGCCTTACATGGGAGTAAGTCTGGAGATCCGGATAGAACGGTGTTAACGGCGGTTTGCATGGCATCTTGATCAATTTTGACATTGAGAGGCATGGCGTTACGTGAACCAACACGAAGATCACACGGTTTATACATGCTGAAATGAAAAAGTTGTATTGATGTAAATAGAAATCGGAGGTCATCAAGAACCACTTACGGGTCCTTATCAAGGCAAAGCTTGCTAGTGGCGCGGGCAATCCACTGCGCAACATTTCTGGAATAAATTGTTCATAATTCATTGTAAGCGACACTGTGGCAGTTCCACTGCACTACAAGTCAGCACACATGAGCCTATTTATGCAATCGTTCAGACTCTTTTTCAATCTGTAATGCAGAATACGGGCTTGTCCGAAAAGTCCTAGCCGATTGTCATGGTCGACTGAAAATAAAAAAGCCCAATCGTTGGCCATAAATAGTTATGTCATAATTTCAGCTTTCAGCTTCCATTACCGGAACGGTAATATATGAAAGTGGTTTGGTCAATAACTATGGATGTCCTATCGCCATTTGCCGGTTTTCATTTGTAGAATTCTGCCTAGATTTTATGAATAGTACGGCACTGCTTCTTCACTTCCAGCATCGTCTCTCGAAACCTAACTCACAACTTTTTCAAACCCTAAACTACATTATTTTCCTTGTGGCAGTGAAAAATCCTTATGGGTCGGAAACAGACTAGTTGGACCTGGATTCTTGCACCATTCTCAAATGAATACGAATAAATAAAAATGGATAGGAGACAGAAAGAAAAATACGTCAAATTGCTCTTCCAGAGCGAAAAAAAATACATATTCTGAGTAGGATTTCATTAACGTGTTACAAAAACTTTCCAAGTAACGCTTTTGAAATCGGCTAGGACTTTCTGGGCGATAGAATCGCATTTCGGTGCGACTACAAAATACCGGGTCATCCTCCAGGACTAAGCCTGAGGAGGCAGGAACTTGAGGGAAAATGAAGTTCTCACGCATCCTTAAGTCTTTCCTTGCCGGCCTAAAGCTTACGGTCAATCCCGTATCCATCAAAAAGGAAGTGCAATGGCAAAACAATGTCCACGTATCTTGCGATATCGCCGAATACTCAGATCAATCAAAGTAATACTCACGCGAACACCTCATTAGGATCGTTTCCCAACTTGGCAACACTAGCGAACCTATCCAGAGCATTTTCAAGCAGTACTCCCTGCCGAACGAAACCGTGAATTGAACTGAGCGTACGCATCCATTCATATTCACGAGCATTCTTTTCGGGAAGAATATGAAGAACAAACATGACGGCAGGCCAGTTCTGGAAGCATTAGTATAATCGTAGTCTATCATGCTGGATAAAAAAATAACAAGTCAGCTACGTATGGATAAAGCTATACACATAAGGGAGAATGGTAACATAAACTGATTGCGGTCTCATCCAGTAAGGGGGGGGGGCATGTGGTGCGACAGTTCATATTGCATGAAGAAATCCACTTTTTTAGGGGAGGGAAGCTCCGGGGTGGGTGTAAAAGCTTAAGCGAAATGGTTCACGCACCCGGGGATTCCCTCCCCTTGCAAAAATTGGAATTTCTGTAGCCGACAAGAACTGTCACACCACATGCCCTTATTAGATGAGACCCCTAATTGCACCAATGGAAGGAGCACCAGAATGCCTCGAGTAAGTTACCACACTACACCTATGCCCTGCTGTTTTACGAGATTATTCCACCTAGGTTTGAAAATGCACCTGTGTAGTGCTGCGGTATTACGCGAACAGGCGAAGGCTATCAGAAAAATCGTCTGCGACATTCGATTCTTTTGCAACATCAGTTTCAAATTAATTTGTTCACTTATTAGAAAAATCGCTCTAAAACTGATGATGATAAAAGAATATGATTAGCAGCGAGGGGTAGAGGAGTGTCGAAGTAAATGCTAGGTCGCTCTCGTGGCAGAAGGTGCGCTATCAACGGCGCAATAAGACGCTACGGTACCTGAACAAGCCCTCCGTACTCCGGACACGCCCACCCCGGCACGTGGAAGGGGTGACGACGGCAATATATTCGAAAAAATGTCATCCCAACCGCTCGATTTTCTTTACCAAATGTACTGTTGCACCGGCCATCGAAGGAACAAGTGCATCCGATTTTAATTGGTGGTATCCCTAGATGGTTGGTAATGATAATGTCAGTCTTTAACTGCACCCGAACAACCTCTACGCTGGCGGGTACACTTTTAAATCAACAGGAAAGAACGATAGAGTCCCAGTGCACAGCTTTTGGCAGCTTTTCTTCTTACCTACGCACCATGTAGCATATCTAATTTCAAATACAACCATATCAGGTCATTGTGAGTGCTGCCTTTGAGAGATGATTATCATCTTATTCGTCTTTTCGCAACCTTAATCCGCCCAATTCGCAGTATCCACTGCCCTTACGGTTAGAGACGCGAGCATGCTCCACATAACACGAGGCATCGATTTCGGTATATTACAGGTAAATGGGAGCAGATTATTTCGCCAACAGGAAGGGCTGTTTTTTAGAGGACACTTTCAACTCCCAAAACTTTCTTGCTTCCCACCAAAAAATCATTTCCGTTATCGTAATGCGGTATTCCTTTTCAACATACTAAAAATGCTATGACCGCGCTATTCTCCGAACCAGTTCAGTAAGGTGACCACGAGTTCTGTGGCGAAAGCCTCGCCCGAACTACGTAGCTGCAACACAGTGCTGTTTTTCCCTCCCTATTTCCTTTCATTTTTAGAAACACAACAAGCTAGGTGCGGTTGGGACGGGGCTTCTTGGCGCGGAGCAAGGCATTAGAAGCTAAGAAAATCCATTTTCATGCTCGTTTGATTCCCTTATCTAACAAGCAAAATAGTGCCCAGTCCCTAATCGGGTAACTGTTGCCGGGACGATCTACCGCGTCGCCCCCAACCAAACCTGTGACTCATATTACGATAGTGCACAAAAACAAATATGACGTAGAGAGAAGGAATGAATATTACCTGTCTAATATTTTCGTAGGCAGAAGCGCAGGCATCGTAGTCGCCAACGGGAACGTGCTGCACAACCTTGGGTCTTTTTTCGAATCTTGCATAGATATTCATCCTACCCGCGACATGAGTGACCTCGTTGAGAAACCATATAGCAAATTCACTGAAAACAACATTTTTTTTGAAACATTTCAAAATTAAATTAGATTGGTAAAACCTTAGAGTGTTGATGATTTCTTCATCTGGTACGGAGCATACGATAGCCCATCGCATCTGTAGTGCATCATCCTCATCGCCGAAGAACATAACTGAATGATAGACCATTTGAAGCCAGGAACTTCTCGAGATTCACGACTTGCTATGACAACAAAAACGAAAGTTGTAGAAGAAACAGCTGCTAAAGTACTCTGAGCTGGTATTTTCTCTATAAAATTTGGAGAGGATCCCTATAATCTTAGAGGATCCCTATAATCTTTCCCTTGATAGAGAATAGGACGAGACGGCAATGGAAGGAATTAGCTTGAAACTGTCAGAAGAAAACACGAAATTATTTTTGTAAGTTAGATAGGAGTAGCAAGCAGAATGATTTTGGAAAAATAGATGCTGCCCTGCAATTAAAAACTTCCATTTCCCGCAAAAGTACAGTACACAAGTTTCGATTAGAGCACATCAACAGCTCGCTTGGGACAAATTTACCGTCCAAGGGCAGCGGTCAACCGAAAGTCTTGGTGATTCAGCGTTTTGTAGTGTTCTCTGGGCACTCTCGCATATGCACACTATTACAGCGTCTCTGCTTTCTTTCCTTCCTTCAAAAGGCTTAGTCCTAACACATTGACGACAATGCGAGTTTTGGCTTTTTTGGCCACGTGGGACCGCGGCGATTTTGCGGGCGCGCTCGCCACAGGTCGTTCAAGCAGATTTTGAGTGATAAATACACAACTAATGACCAATTCAAAAACCAAATTAGTAAATAATGAGCGCAACCTACCCAGGGGTACAGTAGTGGAATTTTGATCAAAAGACATGGAATAACAATGAAAAAGCGAAATTTTTCAGAACTAGCTGCAATGGACCTTAAAAGTAATTTTACGTTGATTATTCCAATCAAAACACACATGTTGTCATCCCTAAAGTTCCTTATCTACTTCTACTACTTTTTAAATCTTCATATTAATAAAAAGAGAAAGTAAACGAAAAATTTATTGAAATGAAGATTTCGTATGGTTCAGAAATCCTCCTCTAAATTAAAGTATACGTGACCATTCTAGGGCCACTATGTTTGTAGCTACGCTAAGGTCTCTTCCATGGAATGAATACAAGAAACTTCTAAAAGAATCAGGCGTGCGCGAAAAAAATGAGTGTAATGGGTGCGGGGGATATATATCCCGCATGGTCCGACATGGCCTGCAATGCGCGGGATATATATACCCCCGCGTTCGTCAATGTGTTAAAGAGCAAAAGAATGCTTCCCTGTACTGGCCTCCACGCGTTTGTTAACCACTGCCCCGTAACTTGTAGGTTAAGGTCAGCGAAGCCTCATTCAGGGATGTCCCTTACCCACACTCGGGACATATTCCCAGCCTCGGGACATATCCTTGCGCGGCGAAGCGAAATGAGTCCCCAACTTCGGGCAATATCCCAACGTACCATAATCTCCATCCCCACAGTGAAATGGACCCGCTCACGAGTACGCTCAATAAGGCCCCATTTGAGCTGGTAATACGACGTGACCATGAAAAGTCACATGCTGCCAACCCTTTGCTTCTCTGCTGGTAGGTATATACCCCTTGCCGAGTTCTGGGATTCCACCCATCGATCTCGACCGGATAATCGGCGGGGATGGACCGTCACACAGCGTAGTCACCAAACCAAAAAGAATGGTCTGACCAAACCTTGAGCGGTTTTCTTTACATTTGGTTGATGTGTCCTGCGTTGAACCATCCCTCATCCGCTCAAGCATTCCCGAGTGGAATATGTCCCCGAGGTTAGAACTCCCCGAGTTGGATGTTTTCCAGGGACCCATTTCCACCTGGGTTTGGTTGCACTAGCCCCAAACGCGCCGATGCGGTCCAATCAAGAGGAATGTATGACCGCTTAAACTTCTACATTGAACATCCCCCACCCATCTTCCATCTCAACACAATCTCGCCTCTGTAGTTGTGACAAAAATGATTATCCAGTTGGCTCGCGCCACAAATTTCACTTTTCCAGAGTCGCGGAACTCAACGGCGAGATCGGCTTCGAGCGCTGTGGATGCGAGATGGAAAAAGAGGCTTCATTCCTACGCCACTCTCGATTCTTTCCCTGCTGCACAGATTTCTGCACTGAATAGTGCGGAGGAGCAATTGTGAGCTAGGAGGTGAGGGATTTCTAGCCTTGATAGGGGGAGAAATTATGGAAAATGAAAATTGCTCACCAATTCGAGTGTGCCTTTCTGCCTTCCCCAATCTATGACCTGGTTTCGCACGTTTAAAATAAAAAAAAGTGCTTTCATGGTTTCACGCCACACGTACTGATCGAGTGACTGCTGTACCCTAGATGACAGTGGAGATCTGAAGTGTAACGCCAGCAATAAAAAACGGAAGGAACCGTCGCCAGGGACGAAAATAAAATTCCCTCTTCACTAGCGGCAAAGCGAAATAGCATTGAATTGTAGGCGGGGTGTGTGGTGGTGGGCGGAGCATGTGGTCAATCCTTGCAAGTTACCCGTTATTAAGCCGTACCAAATGGGAACATGCTCTGCTCTTGAGTCTCACTCCATATTTCTCGCAGAAAAGCTTTAACTCGTCCTGGAATCCTGCTGCGGGCTCTACACCACAATGTCCCTTATATTGAAATACACCTAATTCCATTCTGAATAAAAAATATTCACAGCACGTTTCAATCTCTTTGGCAAATCATTACGTCTACGAAGTTTCATAAGAATTACTGGTTTGGAAGAGATTTGAACCCGTTTGTATTGCAAGTGATAAGCGAACCTCTGATTGTTAACTGATTTAGTCTGTATAAGAATTGTTACTGCTCAAAATCTCAGTGGAATACATAGAATGTAAACAATTGTGGCTGATCGTCAGTGTGAACTATTTCTCTACTTTCTCGAACCATGGCTGGTAGGGTTAGTGGTTTATCTTGTTCTCACCTACGTCTCCTACTCACTTGCAATACTAATCTGTAGCTGCACATCTCCTGAGACAGTGATCAGACTTTGCAACAGTCAGAGGAGTCCAAGTACCGCTAGCGGCAAGCAACACGATCAATAGTGAAGTGGTGTAGCTTCTGCTCCGTCTAACTTACTAGAAAGTTTTTTAAGGCTGTGCCCACTTTTGAAAAACGGTTTTTTGCATGGTAGGCGCACATGCAAGAGGCACAGCGTTATGGTTCATCTTCCTGATCGGTCCTCCGAATGCCAAACAGGCTCAAGCGCCACAACTTTTTGACATCAGTATCTGGCAAAGGCCTATTCACATGGGTTTAAGGCATGCCCCAGGATCACATTGGTGTGGCTCTTGCACACGAATGCGAATGTATTGGTGCGAAATGGGCGGCAGTAAAGAAAAAAGCAAAGGAATACGCCAAAAACGCTTATGACGCGCTCTGGCGATCGTACGTGCGATTAGGCGACTAGGCGATGATAGAAGGACACGTATCGACTTGTTGCTCCGCCCATTGAGCGATCGCCCAACGTAGGATAGATATCATAGTTTGCGAATCACTTTCAAAAAGGGTCCACTGTCAGTGACACTGTTCGAAAGTGGGGAGCGGTCAACAGAATCGTCCGAGGGGTGTGCGTCATATGGCGCGATCCCATTGGCATTGGAGCGCACAGGCCGAAATTGCCGAAAGTTGTTCTGGATAATGTGGGCTCTAATGCCAGTGGGATCGCGCCATATGACCGCCTCCCTCGTCCGAGAGTGGCGTCGCCGCGCGCGGCTGCTTACGCGATGTCGCAAGGCGGCACCTTTGGGATGGGCGCGGCAACTTTTAAATTTGACAAGTGGAGCCCACGAATCCATCTATTAGGTCGCAACGAAAGTCCTGGCGAATTTTTCAAAAGCCTGGCAAATGGCTGCACAATACCCAGCGCGGGATATTTCGTAACCATACATAGGACCAATGGTATTTCCTTCATATTCTAAAGTCTTACCTCCTGCACGCCTTTTGAAGCCTGGAAAATGCCATATGTTTCGACCCATGTACGCCACTGCCTTCTTTGCGAATTTTGTCTGGGACACACAGCGAGCGAAGCCTGCCGCAAAATATGCTCTGTGGAAGTAGAAGGGAGTGGTAAGTGAAAAAACCTGCCAACTTTGGTTCAGAAGGTTCCGCGAAGGAAACTACAACCTCGAAGATGGACGCCCAACGAAGTCAATTTCGAACGTTTGGAGCTGTTACTTCAAGACTTTCCGCATGCAAGCGCCAAGGAGCTGGCAAAGGAGATGCAGTGCTTCAACATGGCCACAGGTCGTGTTCACCACAAGCTGGAAAAAGTCAAGAAACTTGGTCGATTGATCCCTCATGAGCTGACAGAGCATTGCAAGAAAAGAGGTATCGGGGTGTGCAGAGGTTTTCTTGCAAGGAGTCGCCGTTTCGATTGGCTGGATAATGTCATTACTGGAGATGAAAAGTGGGGGCTCTACGTAAATCATACCAGAGAAGACAGTGGATGGATGCGAACCAGAAGCCAGAGCCTGTTCCAAAGCAGGAGCTTCATCCCAAGAAGGTTCTTCTGTCAGTTTGGTGGAGTGTTCGGGGAACACATCATTACGAGATGCCAGACAATACCACCGTCGACGCTGAGGTGTACTGCTCACAACCACGAAGGCTCGCAGCTGAAGTCGCGAAACTTCGCCCTAAGCTGGACGAAGTCCTTCTTCTTCATGACAACGCGCGACCGCATGTTGCAAGGGTAACCCAGGACACATTGGCGGAACTTGGATCTGCGGTCTTACCCCATCCTCCATATTCGCCAGATCTTGCACCTACGGATTACCACCTGTTCCGTTCCCTGGCTCACTTCTAAAGGATAAAAAGTACGACAACTTCAACAGTTGGAAAGCGGACATGGCACTTCTTCGACTCGAAACCTGCCGAATTTTGGAGGAGAGGCATTTGTTCCCTTGTCGACCGATGGCGGACTGTTGTAGATACTTGTGGGAATTATTATTCGGAATAAAGTTCAATTTCAAAGAAAAATATGAGTTTTTGAAATTGAGGGTCGAATCCGCCATTACTTTCGTTGCGACCTAATAGAACGCGGATATAGGAGCAAAGTTGGAACTTACTACCTTTAGTCTTTCATAAGAGGT